TTGTTTGCTTGTCAGATACTCATCTGTTTGCCATTCTTGCCATCTTATTTTTTTGATGTATTTGAAAGTAATGTACTGTTATACTTTATTGTATTGTACTTTCACATGCATACATGTCATTAACTGAGCTATTATTGACCTTTTGATTAAGAACTTTATATAAAAAACTTCTTTAATATGAATCCTTATTATAGACATCATAATTAATTGTTAACATAATTTCTCAAAAATACACTCAAAAGTAAAATGTGCATCTATGCCTTACACTCTCTTAATATAAAGTTTCACTTACAATGTGGCAAGAGGTATATATTTATGGTCTCTTCAATGAAAGTGCAGAATACCAAAATTGATATATTGAGTCTCTTTTTCTTAAATTCACCAATTAGTTTTAATTAAGAAACCAGCTAACTGGCAATCAGCAGCTTAAAAAAATGCTCATTTCTGGTAAATTTATTAGTGTAGCTGACATTTCCCCACCTGCTTATCATAAGCATGTTGTGGACCCTTTGAACATAGAAAGCAATAAAAATAGTTGGGAAAAAACTTAAACATAGATAATTGAATGAGCTGTCTCAGAAACTAAATTAAATTGATATTTGCTTCTTAGAATAGAGTAGTTCTTCAGTATGTTTTTGATACTTTAAAAACATTCGTTTTATACTTACAGGATCTTTGTTAAAAGGCTCTCTGAGTTAGCATATTTAAATAAGAGCCTGTTAATAGAGTATAAAAGTCACAGACTTGTACATAAAAGGTAATTTATACATTCTTAATTAAATACCATTCAGGACATCTCACTTGTTACTTCTGTTTTTGAAATATCAGCCATTTCTCCTTAAGGCAAACAAGTGAATCAGAACTATCCCGTGCAGAGTTTTCTAATCAGTGTATCTGTCATACTAGTATGCCACTGATGTGTGACAAGTGTGCTGAGGTAATCATTGTTTTCTTCAGGGTTATTGCCAGAGCCTAGAACAGTTTAATCACACTCTTTCCTGAGTTTACAGAGCATGCATTAAAAATTATTGCATGTGTATGTGTCTGTGTGTGCGTGTATGTATGTGTACGTGTGTGTGCTTGTGTGCGTGCGTGTCTGGTGTGTGTGTGTGTGCGTGTGTGTGTGTGTGTGTGTGTGTGATCTCCCCAGAAACACTGGCATAATGGGGCATCGTAGTCTTTTTGCATATAAAACCTTTGCAGTTAAAACTCAACATCTTTTATAAAGTTACATTTAAATCTAAAAAGGACCATTGAAACAATTGGACTTAACCAACTATATAAAGTTTCTTACTCTTAAAATTCTGACTTTTTCTTCAGTAAGTAGAAGTTCAGCAGTTGGACGTTCTTGGCACACTTCTGTGATCTTAGCACTTAGGAACCTAGATTGTGAGTTTGAAGCCAGCCTAGGCTCATAGTGAGTCCACTGTCTCAAGAAACAAAAAAAAAAGTTCAAAGAACATGAATTTTTTTTTTAGATTAAAAGCATTCCCCCCCTTTTTATTGTAAAGTTTCTTGGCTACCCTCTTACTCATCAAATACTACCTTTTCCCCAAGAAATTAAAGTGTTATAACAAAGTTGGTTTTTTGGTTTTTTTAACTATACCCTTTGGAGTCACTTGGTTGCTTTTTGTGAAATCAGATTTAATGAACCCTGTTTTGTCAGAATTTTTTTTCATTTCAAGTTTCCCTGTAGGAAAAAATGACATGATTTACAATTGCTGGTCATTCCACAGCCTTTCAAACCCAAATTCTGTCTGCCCTCTTGGACTTCTTTATAGTGGAGTTGACCTTGGACTCTCATCTTACCTGTCCTGATAATTTTGTGTTACACCACATCTTCCTAGTAGTGGATTTCACTTTTTACTTAGGAAGTGAATATAGTATGCCAAAATTAGACAAGAACAACCAAAAAATTATCAAAAGGACAGCTGAACATATCTAAATGAGTGATCCTCATCAAACTAGTCCCCTTTAGAAGTATATTTACTTAGCTGCTGCTGCCATTTCTTATGACATATAGGATTTGGAGAATTCTTTCTATAATAGTTTCATTTACTTTATATCAATGAATACCCTCCCTCATATTTTTTTCTCTCCTTGCTACATTCTTCTTTCCTGTTTCACTCACTTAAATCCGCTCTCACACCTTTTTCACTTTGATGATGTACAGAACTGAGGTTGAGTAAGTCTGCAGCCAAGGAAAACCTTAAGATGAGATAGTCATGAAACAGACTGAAACTTAGTAATGAGTTCACTAGTCTTCTATTGTTCTAATGTTCTTGAGAGGGTAGAGGGTGCTAGGGAACCAAACCCAGGCTTCATGAATGCCAGGCAAGTGAGCCTGGCATATACTACTAAGCTATATCCACAGCCAAATTCTGTTGTTCTGTTCCTTTGAAATATTTCATTTAAAAAGCAGAATGATTAAAAATAAAATGCAGATACATTATATGCAAGTACTACTACACTACTATAAATTGATAATATGGGTCATTATCTCATTAGCTTAGGGCTATAAATGCAAGGGGCTGAACCATTTCAGCTCTAATGCCTTACCTATTGTAATTCATATTTAAATCAGCAAGGGCTAAAATACATACTTAAGCAAAAACATGGGCTTCTATAACAAATCCTAAAAAGTTAATTTGCTTGAATCTTTGCATCATTCTCCTATACTCCTGTTTGCTTCATTGATGCTTATATTCAGAATGCTGTAAACGAGAGTAAAAAGATATCAACTGTCTCTATGACCCTTACACAAACAATTCACTCCGTTTCATTTAAGTTTCTTCACCTATGGAGTAGGAATAATAATAATAGAATCTACCACACAGGGTTGTTGTAATGATTATGTGTAAAGGGCTTAGAGCAAATCCTGACACAGTATAAATACCATCTTGCTCCACAAGAGAATTAAGCACTACAGAAAAAAGAAAGAAAAAAATAGGAGTTTTTGACAGGATGCCACCTAGTTATACCAGTTCAGATGCTTTGGAATTATGAACATATGAAGATGCTGTAGTCATTAGGGCTTGATTCCAGTGGGGAGAGCCTGAAGTGAGAAGGGCTCATAGGTGCTCAAGTATGCTAGATATTATTTTGATCACAAATGACAGAAATCATATTCAAATTAATTTACATAGTAAACCTATTACCTCATTTAAATGAAGAAACTTGAGAAGGTTTCAGAGAGGTTTGTTAGGATTCCAACTTTAGTAACTGTTATTCCTGCCTGCCATTAAGGCCAAATTAAGATTTCTAACTAAATTTTAAAAGAATTTATTTTTCTTAAACACAGGCTTATGGCTGAAAATCATAAAAAAAATCTTTTGAATAAATTTAACAAGTTTAGCATATTTGTATCTGGTATTTGTGCCCAAATAGGTAAGAAAAAAAAGTATAAAGCCTATAGAAGCTATAGTCTTGCTTTTATATCTGTACAAATAGTTATACTGAACCAGTTCATCAGGCCATATTCCAGTATAAGATTTTTTTAAGACAAGTTGCCAAAAGAAAACATAAGAGGGTATATAAGAATAACTTGATGAACAAATTTGTACAACCGTCTAAAATTGGTAAGGATATCATCAAGGTCACTGTCAGTTAGTTCAGAAGAGTTATCCTGTGGGACTGGTGCCCTGAATGTACAGGGTAACTAGCCATTCTGTTACTGGAGAAGTTCTAGTTATTTCTTCTTCCTGCCAAGGATGTATGTAGGAAGAAAGTGGAGAGTGGACTTGGCTGTAATCAGATGTCGAAAGGAAATGTCTTACTGTGATTTTGAAAGATAATAGGAGGGATCTCTGCATTGGAAAATGCTCTTTCCTGCAGCTCTTTACCCTCAAAGTATAAGACCTAAGACATGCTTTTAAAACATGCTTTTTAAAAACCTATAAATATTCAGATAGCACTAAAGTAACAGATAGTTTAAAGCTTTCTAAAATCACAATGTCATTTGCTGGATATGTACAGGTATTGAATGACCTTCAGGTTGTGCCATTGAGAGATAATAGTAAAGTGCAGAACAGCATGTATAGTTTGTATTCTATGGGTAAAAACAGGTGTATACGAAGTGCATTTTATTATATATGTACAGACTATCCTGGAAAGACCCACACAAAAAAAAAATTGTTAAGAATAGTTGTCTCCATGGAAGGAAACTGAATGGTTGACCAGTTAAAATGTAAGTTCATACTCTCATGGTATCAGGAATTATTTAGTAGTTTTGGCAGTTGTCTCAAGATAAGAGCTTCTAAACATTTTAAGTATCGGCACATGGCTTCTTAATTATAAACTAGAGCTATCAAAAAATCTGTTTTCACTCTTCAGTGAGCCCATTATCTTTAAAAGTCACTTTGTTTTAGCATGGTACAAGAAAAAGGCAGATCCTCCTCTCTCCCTCCCCCACCCTTTCCCAATCTGTATCCCTGGAGAATGGGCTCAACACTCTTCAGAAACCAACTCATAGGACTAAGGAGCACCTCTTGATCAGCTGTATGTAGGATTCCCAGTACACATTCCTGAACTAATTAAACAACAGATACAAGTGTTTTCCCCTTATTAGAGTAATTTCTCTTGTTTTCTGTTTCTGCTAAAGCACATGCCCAGTGTAGCTGTGGAAGTCTCAACAGCGTCTTCACTTAGTATTGAGTTGCTTATGGTTTGAATAAACAGATATCTGCTTGACAAGATAACTAAGTACATGGCCTTGAAATTTTAGGGTAGTATTTTCATCAGAGGGCCTTGTTTGATTATTGATTTCTAAGACTCCCTCCAGTGGTACATTTTGTAAATTGTGTATGTGTGTATATATAAGAATTACTTAGAAATAGTCAGTTTAAGTCATTATGAATTATTTTTCAGCAATAGTTTAAGGATGGATTGCATCAGAATTTATCTAAAGGATGTATATTTAGGCTGTCCTGTATTTTGAAATGTTTGAGTACATCCTATGAAAATTGTCTCTCTTTTTGCTTTGATGTATTGTCACAAAACAGAAAGAAGAAGGAAAGCTTCAAGGACAGCTTAACAAGTCTGATTCTAACCAGTATATTAGGGAACTGAAAGATCAGATAGCAGAGCTGAATCATGAGGTAAGTGATAAATTTTGATCCTCACATATTTCTTTCTTCCTTCCTCTGTATTGTAACAACACTTTGTTACTGGTTATGAGACTGACTCTTTCATGCTCAACATTGTCTATGAATTCTTAATTATAATTAATAACATCATCTTAGAAGATTGTCTTTTTTAGCAAGCATTTTTTCTGTTCAAATATTGAGGATTTATTTTCCTTCAGCCTCTTAATCATAATATAAAAATGATCAGTATTTTCATAGAAAAACTCATTTTTATTATAGTCTGAAAACAATGTATAATTACCTGTGTCTCAAATTTATTTCCATTAAATTAAAATTTTCCTTTACCTATCAAATAGATTTAGGTTACTTACCGTTGTGGGTAGAGGGAAGTCTTTTTACTCTTGCCTTCCTTTCCTCTCATACTGAGATTGCAAAAAAGGATACTTGCCTAATATCAGTTAACAGATTTCTTGGTATTTGAGTGCTTTTTAAACTAGTTTTACCTATCAACTATGAGATTCAACCCATGAAAATTTCAGTTTTACTAGATGTTATTACCAATTTAAATTATTTAAACTATTGTGTTTTGGGGAAAAAAAGTACTTTTTATTGTGGCTCTAGGCCAATTTCCTTGTTCTTTATTATTTTCTTTTTTATTGTGGGACTGTGGTTTGAACTCATGGCTTCATGCTTGCAAAGCAGGTGCTCTACTGCTTGAGTCACATCTTCAGTCCATTTTGCTCTTGTTATTTTCAGAGATGGGGGACTATAGCTCAGTAATAGAGTGCTTGCCTAGCATGCACAAAGTCCTGGGTCCAATCTCCAACACTCCAAGAAAAAAAAACAAGAAGAAGAAGAAGAAAGAAATTCATTGGGGCCACTAAATGAATTTAAACCTCACAGGAAAATGTTTAGACATTACCCTTTCCTGGTATTACACTCTTCAGTTGAAGTCTAAGTGTTTTTGGGTAATACCTCCTGGAGGTAGTCAATATAAAAGTAAATTGTGAGTGAAGAAGAAATAAAGCATAAACAAATGATAAATCTTACCTGTGATTCAATTTAATCTATCGTGAAGTATTAGGGACCATTCTTTTCATTTTTGCCCATGATAATATTTGAAGGATTCAAGGTCTTATATAACTTTTACCTGTTTGTTTACATTTTAAAATAATCAGGATATAAAATCAACATAGAAAAGTCATTAGCATTTCTATACACTAATAATGAACAAACTGAAAAAGAATATATGAAAACAGTTCCATTTACAATAGCTTCAAAAAAAATCAAATACCTAGGTGTAAACCTAACAAAGGATGTGAACGACCTTTACAAGGAAAATTATAAACTTCTGAAGAAAGAGACTGAGGAAGACTATAGAAAGTGGAGAGCTCTTCCATGCTCATGGATTGGTAGAATCAACATAGTAAAAATGTCTATACTCCCAAAAGTAAAATAATCTGTTTTTATCTATACCTATGTATAAGACAAGTTACAAATAAACAAGTTCTAGAAATCCTTACTCTTTTAAAACCTTAAGAATTATTTCTTGTGTGCAAAAGGTGTTCTCAACAGAAATTGTGACTAAAAATAAGGCAATATCCCATTTAAATTTTTGAGGAAGTGTTAATGTTTGTTACTGAATTAAGAAAATTATATGTGGACTGGAGGTGTGGCTAAACAGTAGAACACCTGCCTAACAACTGTGAAGCCCTGAGTTCAAATCCTCCTAGTAATGCAAAAAATATATATAGACAGATAGACTCTGTTTCAAAAACTAGTCTAAAAACCAGTCAAAAAGCATTAATGTTGCCTGTCATATGCCCTAGCTAAAAGTAATATTTTCCTTATCAGGACTGACAGAAAATAATTCACATGAGATTTAACTTTAATGTTGTTTTTTATGTGGAACTTGTGAAAGTGGTTTCTTACACAGGTATGAAACTTGACCAGTAAGGTAGAATTTTCTACTGTTCAAAGAGCTAGACCAAACTGCAAGCACCTGTTAATAAAGGTCTTAAATAATAGAAAAAAGAAAGAGAAAGAGAGATAGCTAGAAAGAGAGCTAGATCACTGAAGTTAAAGACTAGAAGGGCTTATAATGAGATGCTAGTTTTGCGGTTCAGAATAGCCAAAATCCTGAACAGGCCCCTATCAGGCCCCTGTCAGAAGTCATAGGAGATGCGAAGAGTGCAGTACATTTGGGTACCCACACTGAAGGTGAGCCTGAGGGAATTTCAAAGTGGCCAGACTATACTGTGACTCTTCTAATGTGACCAGTAGAAAGAAAGGGTAGACTGGTAGAACTAGATTATGATGCACCTTTAAAGCTAGAAGTGATTAAGTACAAAATCATTATGGGTATTCAGTTGGTGATTCTTTTTCGTTATGTTTTCTGAGCAGATTTTCATTCACCTATTTCAAAGTTTTGCCACTAGAAAGGTTAGATGACAGCAAGTGAACATTTAAACCAAGATACTGGTTGTGGCAGACTTACTACAAAAACTACTCTTGTAATTACTGTTGTATTTTTGGATCAGCCTTTTTTAAGGGAGTTAACCACAGTGTTGCTTTTATATTCCACTATTTTCATTCTTTGATAAAGCATTTCACAGTTTGATCTCTGAGGTAGAGATCAAGAGGATCCTATTGTTTGAGGCCAGCCCGGACAAAAAGTTGGTGAGACTCCATCTCAACCGATAAAGAACTGGACATGGTGGCACATGCTTGTCATCCCAGCTATGCTGGAGGTGTAAAATACGAGAGCCAAAAGACAACTAAAGTCAGTCTGACCTCTACAAGTTTAACATTTGTATGCTAGAATTTGCCAGAATTTTTGGCCTTCGGTATAAAAATTTACATTGAAATATTAATTATTGTGTTTCAGCAAGTGACCATTAGTAGTCACTTTGTTAGATAACTTTTGTACTTCTCTAAATCTTGGAGAAAAATGTTGAAATGTTCATCTTACTGAAGATACAACCATGTCAGACATGTTACAGCAACTCTGACCTGTTAGTTTAGTCAGCTATATGATTGACTAGTTTTTGTGGAGGAGGGTGGTTTGAACTCAGGGCCTCCTGCTTGCTAGGCAGGTGCTTTTACTGCTTGAGCCACTCTACCACCATCCTTTTGTGATGGGTTTTTTTGAGATAGGGTCTCATGAATTATTTGGTTGGGCTGGCTTCAAACTGCAATCCTCCTAATCTCCAAGATCAGGAATACAGGCACCTGGCAATTGATTTTTTTTTTTTTTGAGATGGGATCTGGCTCTGTAGCCTAGACTGGCCTAGAATTCATGATCCTCTTGCCTCAGCCTCCCAAGTAATGGGATTGCAGGTATTTGTCACCATACTTAACTAGTTATATGAAGTAATAAAAGATTAAGCCGGTTATTTTTATTAATGGCTGAATACATTATGATATGTGACAAAATAATCGTTACTATTTATTGAATACCCACTATGGCCAGACATTGCATCTTGCACTTCATATTTGTTATTGAAGATGGTATTGTTCACACGTGCATGTATATGGAAACCAAGACTCACAATGATTAAGTATCTTTCTAGGCATTAATGGTTAAGTCAGGATACATATAAGCAATAAATGATTGAGCCAGAATAAAATCGAGTTTTGCCTGTTCTTTCTGTGCTACTTACACAGACATTAGAATTAGTGTCTAAAATCTCAGGAATAATAATAATAATATATTAAGAATGTTGTTCCTCCCTGACACAGAATTTGCAGACATGCAGTAAGTGAATTCTGTAGTTGACCTAGCCACAAGAACTAGGCCCTGTCTCTCCCTGCTGGCCTTTTAGAGATTTATCTTCACTTACTGCTGCTTACTGTGATCCATCCTATGCCTTCTTTGACTCTCATCCACTGCAATTCCTCACACTCTGACTAGTTTTACTTCCCATAGAAACTTTTTAAATCTGGAGCCTCTTATACCCTGCCAAGACCTTCACAGAAGCCACGATATGGAAACCCTTGCTTCCTCAAACCTAGCAAGAGCTGGGTTAGATCCTACCCTACTACCTGCCTCTTGTCTCCATAAAAAAGAACCTGAGGTTTCCAGTTCAAGTGCTGTTCCCTCCATTCTCCTACCTCTTAACCTCCCACCTGTCATCAGTAGCTATCATTGTTTGCTCTGTGCCAGACATTATACCGTTACACTTTTGGTTTTTAATCTTTGCAGCAGTCTTAGGGAGAAGGTAGCATCATTATCATTCCCATCTTATATATGATAACCTAGGTTCTGGGGGACACAATAATTACCCACAGCCATACTCTGTTCAGTAGTAGAGGTGGGATATTTTCAGTTCCAGCTATATAACTCCATACCTGTGTACGCCAAGCCCAATCAATATATGTATATATATATATCTCCTCCTTGGAAATATACAGGGGTAAGATGGTAACTACATATGGACTGGGTTTTGAAAAAATGAAATCTGACAGGCAAATTGAGCATCTAGAGCAATTAGGTCAAACATGAAACAAAATAGGTTCTGGGAGTTAATAAAACAACTGCTTTTGCAGCATGGGACTGTTTTATAATTGATGAACAGTAAAGACAATTCTGTCAATGCCAAGAAAGAAAGGTAGAAGTATATTCATGTTTAGACATCAAAAGAAACATACCCAGGGGCTGGAGGAGTGCTTCAAGTGCTAGAGCAGCTGCCTAGTGTATGAGGTCCTGAGTTCAAGCCCCTGTAGCACAAAAAGCAAAACAAAACAAAAAACTTCACAGAAATGTACTAAGGACTCATTTGACATCTTGGGCTGGTGGGGTGACTCGAGTAGTAATAGTGCCTGCCTAGCAAGCATAAGGCACTGAGTTCAACCCCTAGTACCACCAAAAATAAAAAATTGACTTAGATATACACATCTTAGGAAATAAAAATCCTATCATTCAACGAAGTTACCAGTTAATTACACTTATCTGGATCCTTTGGAGCCTGCTTGCCATTTAGAGTCTTATTTTATGGGAGAATTCATATGTA